TGTGTAAACTAATTCATGCTTGATCGGCCAAGTGCGTGCGCGCGCGCGTGTGTGTGTGACACAAACACACACACACACACACACACACACACACACACACACACACACACACACACATTTATTTATTTATTTATTTTTTCCGGAATTTTCAGAAAAGTCCACTTTCATCTCTGATGTTATAACTTGCTGTTGGTTAAGTCAACTGTGTCGCTGCTTTATTAAATAAGTTTTACTGACATCTGATCGTTCTGTTGCCATTTCCTTGAGCGTAGCTCCATCTCGTGGATTTATTGTAGATTGCGCCTTATAATGCGGTGCGTCCAATATATGAAAAAAAATTACAAAATAGGCCATTCATTGAAGGTGCTCCTCATAATCCAGTGCGCCTTTTAGTGCGGAAAATACGGTATACACTCTCTGCCAAAAGTATTGGAAGGCCAACACCTGAATTTAGCTGGGTCTTCTTCATGATCCACTTGACACTGTCTCTCTCCTTCCAGGCCACTGGTTGGGCATCGCGCTGGACACACCCAGTGGGAAGAATGACGGATCCGTGGGTGGAGTCAGATACTTTAATTGCCCACCAAGACATGGGGTCTTTGCTCCTCCCTCGCGTGTTCAACGGTGAGCGCTCATCTGCAAAGTTACATTTGGAATAAACCTCTGTTGGATTTAACAGTGTCTCAAGACAGAATACCCTGATGTCAGCTCCATCAAAACAATTGCCACTAATGATTTCCTTTGACAGTGTTATTTGTGTTAGTGTTGACTTCATGATTTTGCCCTGCTTGGCAAAAAGTCGCCTCTATGCTTGTAATTAACAGGAGTCGAGACGCCCAAGGCCTACTCTCGCCACGACTACTGCATTTAATGTGACAGCCAATGAGCCAACAGTGGTGACCCTTTTCGTTAAATATGGATTGCAAATATGGATTTTAAATCATAAATACAAGGGGAAAGCAAAATAATATCCAAGATAATTCTGTCATCTTGACCGATAGAATGAGCGTATATCTCTGTTTGACCATACGATAAGCATATGGGAAGCTGCCAGAAACAGAGGTTGTACTCTGTTTCCCTGCACTACATTCACGATCAATTGGATGCTCGCATCATTTACAGCAGCGGTCCCCAGCCATTTTTGCCCCACGGACCGGTTTACTGCCAGACAATATTTCCTTCAAGGCCGGATAGATACAACAAAATAATATGATATGACCTGCATGAAAACTGTGGTATTTTCTAAACATAATAATAAACACGAATCATGACACGAAGAATGTCCTATCTGGCCGCAACACTCTCTGGTGGCTATGGTAACGTTTTAACGTGCCTTCAAAATAAATACAAATATAAAGTGCATGAAAAACATGACTCACCATCGCCACATATTATGCAGAGTGGGTTTGGTGCGTGGGAATCTCCCGTTGAGATAAATCCGTATTTTAAGTAAGACTCCTGATATTGCCTATTAAATGTAGCCTTCTTTTTCTTGAAAGTCGTAAACTCCTCTTCTGTCTCCTGGCTGGGCCTTTTCCCCTTCACAAAGAAACTTTCCAAAGACGTTCGTTTTTTTTTTTACTCATTTTGTTAGCTCCTGAGTTTCATTTTAGCTGTAACCTATCACGTGACCATGAGGTGCCGCCTTCACCTGTGTCAAGAGTGACATATTGTAGACAGCTGTAACAGAGAATCCAGTAATTTTTCAAAATAAAACATCTTTCAGATTCCAAAATGAATAAAACGGCAGTTATGTAAGTTATTATTCTTTCTGTGCGACCCAGTACCAAATGACCCAATGGACCAATACCGGTCTGCGGCCTAGGGGTTGGGGACCACTGATTTACAGTATGCAACCACACTGTGCTTAAGTATATCTTGAGTAGTTTTTGTTGTTTGTTTGTTTTTTAAAGACCTAGAGTATTTAAAAGGTTTTGTTATTTTTTGCCGAAAGCAATTGTGTGTTTATATTTCCCCTACAAAACACTGCCACTCTTATTGAAAGTATCAAGTTCAATTCAGCATTTGGGAGTGAATTTTTGCCACTGGGAGCAATGGATCACCCTTGGATGTAAAGTGGACACTTTAATAAAACTGCAGATGGTGTTTTTCCAACTTTGTTATGCTGTTAATACTGTACGCAGTCTTGGCCACCATGAGCTATTGTCAGCTTGCCTGAGTGTGTCAAGGATGCATGGATCACTAATTAACCAGCATTCACATAACTGTGCAAATTCAACCTCTTGACGGTTTCTTTTGGGAGCTTGTGCTGCTAACTCCTCCTCCCATCGGTCTTAAATCAATTTACCCAAATACTTTGCCACCCCTTGTAGCGTATAAGACTTTATCTGCGTGTTCTAGACTCATTTATGCTAGATTAAAATAATTGGGGTATAACAGCAGTTACTGCTGTTATGTAATAGCAGTAAAGTGCAGACAAGAATTTTGCCAATTGCAGTGTGATGATCCAGTAAACATGGGTTGCAAAAAAGGATTCCCATATTCAATGATTTGTGTGGAAGATTTATATTCTTTTTCTTTTTATTTATTAATTTTTTTCTTCCATTTGTTTGTTTTAAAATAGCACGTCCCACTGGGCACACATGGTCATTGAAAGGCTAATGTGCTAATGTTATTGTGAGTGTGAACTCGGTGTCTTGCTTCTTTCAATGGCTTGCTGTACTGCACCATCACATCACGTGTCCACTTTCAACAGTCATCCAGCAAGAACACCAACGGTGAGAAATCACTAATGGAGAATAGCCAATGCACTAAATAAGCATCCAATCAAGTTGCTCTTATATCATCACCGATATTGCTCACAACCCCAAGGGGCAAGGCTTTAACATTAACTTTTTTTGCTCACCAGCCACTGTGGCTCGTGATTTCCCAGTTAGTAGGTATTTTCACAATCAATCAGTCACACTTTATTTGTACAGCACTCTTCACACATAAAAATGCAACTCAAAGTGCTGTGCAATTAAAACATGAAAATTACAGCATAAAAAGAGGATCCTCTTCTCCCCAACATACACAGATATATATCCCTGCACGCACTAACACACACACACACACACACACACACACACACACACACACACACACACACACACACACACACACACACACACACACACACATTTATGTATGTGCTCCCTCTTATGAGCTCTAGTTGGGAGATGAGCAGCAGTTTGGACCAACTGGAGACACTTGAGTGAGGACTGGCTGATTCCAAAATAAAGTGCAGTACAGTAAACTAGTTGAGATGAGATGTAGCGAAGGAATGGAATACTAGTTCTGAGTGCCGATGAAAAAGGAAGGGCTTTACCTTAGCCAGCTGCCTAAGATGAAAGAAGCTGGATTTAACAAAAGCACCGATTTGACAGTCCAATTTCAAATCATTGTCCAATTTATCACCCAAGTTTGAGACTGCTTGCTTTAGATAAGAAGCTAGGGGGCCCAGGTCAACAGGATGGGATGTACACAGTCCGCGTGGACCTAACACCATAACTTCTGTTTTATTTTTGTTGGAATTCAAAAAATTCAATGAGATCCACGCTTTGATTTCTAGACAGGACAACAGTAGTTTTAAGGACAATGCATCCTTTTTGCTTAGCCGGACATAGATCTGACTGTCATCTGCATAGCAGTGAAAGGAAACACTGTGTTTTCTTGGAATGGAACCTCAGGGCAGCAATACAGTGAAAACAGCAGGGGCCCCAAAATCGAACCCTGTGGAACACCACACAACAGAAGGGCATAGCGGAACTCAGAGGAACCTAGTCTAACACAAAAAAATCCTGTCAGCCAAATAAGAGTCTAAACCCCTCTAGAGCGCTACCACTTTCCTACCTTTATGCTTGATCAAAGGGACCAACAAACAGACAATATAGAATACAGCAGCAGACCATGAAACACAAGACCAGTAAAATGGAGAGCAAGGAGAGGAGACAACCTCAGTCGGGCATTTTATAAGATGTGTTATCTAATCCACTCACTTTATCATTTGGTAGCATTTTCATAGTCTTGCTTGTCATGTATTTTTTTTCCCCCTAACCATAGAGTCAGATTAGCTTTAACCCGAACCTGGCCTTCTCATTTGTACAAATGAAACAAATAGCATTCTTGAATCTTGTCTAAGTTTGCTTTATGTGATCAAACATGGGCCCTTGTCTTGGCTGACACAATAATGAATTTGTCCTGAATATGCTACAGCTATTGAAGCTGTTAGATGCTATTCACTCTTATTTACCGAACCTTTGTATCAATCTGCTCAATGGAGTGTGTGTCACTCTTGCTGATCGTAATCTAGGATCTCGTCTTGAAAAAAAAAAAAGTCACACCATCAAGAGTCAGTGAATGAGTTTGCATTTCTCCAATTCGACGACACATTTTATCATCTTACACTTTTTTGAGCAGTTGCCTGAGGACGAAGCAATGACTCAATAGGCATATGAAGTGCAAAAGTAGCTCCAGTAATTCGGGGGAGCCTGGAGAAACTCATTTTCAATATATATACTGGTCATCACATGCCAGTTCATTTGCTGGTTTTACTTCCAAATCAAGGTAGGGGCAATCTTGCTCTGCCACAGTAATGATCCACAGACCCTCGGGGACTTTGCAGCGACGTTCTTCTTCGCATTTCTTTATTGCTTTCATTACTCCCTCAACGTTGTTTCTTTTAATCTCCTATTTACACCTTCAATGAAATAGGAGCTGCTTTAGGCAAGAATGAACCTTTGTGTTTGCCCTCCCTTTTTTCATGTCCTTTTTTTGTTTCGTTTCCCCCCCTAATTAACCCTGAGGCCCATACTCTTTTTTTTTTTTTTTTTCCCAGCCATACACATGATTCTCCGTCTTCGGGAGAATCTCACTTTCTCTCCATCGAGCAATGGGTTTTGAACCTCCCTTTTCTTCTCCTGTCAGCAGCTCCAACACGCCATTAGGAAAACAAACAACGTTTCTTTTGCTGCAGGGAGATAAGATAATCCTTTATTACTCTCACAGTAATGACTCAATAGGCATATGAAGTGCAAAAGTAGCTCCAGTAATTCGGGGGAGCCTGGAGAAACTCATTTTCAATATATATACTGGTCATCACATGCCAGTTCATTTGCTGGTTTTACTTCCAAATCAAGGTAGGGGCAATCTTGCTCTGCCACAGTAATGATCCACAGACCCTCGGGGACTTTGCAGCGACGTTCTTCTTCGCATTTCTTTATTGCTTTCATTACTCCCTCAACGTTGTTTCTTTTAATCTCCTATTTACACCTTCAATGAAATAGGAGCTGCTTTAGGCAAGAATGAACCTTTGTGTTTGCCCTCCCTTTTTTCATGTCCTTTTTTTGTTTCGTTTCCCCCCCTAATTAACCCTGAGGCCCATACTCTTTTTTTTTTTTTTTTCCCAGCCATACACATGATTCTCCGTCTTCGGGAGAATCTCACTTTCTCTCCATCGAGCAATGGGTTTTGAACCTCCCTTTTCTTCTCCTGTCAGCAGCTCCAACACGCCATTAGGAAAACAAACAACGTTTCTTTTGCTGCAGGGAGATAAGATAATCCTTTATTACTCTCACAGTGGGGAAATTCATGTCGCAGCACTTTTTGCTTCTGTCAGAGCGAGGAGCAATCGTCTCAAGTAATCTATTTTTCTTTGAAATTTAAAATGGTATACACTGGCAGTTACTGAATTAAAAGTGACTTTGCTGCAGGCGGATTTGACACAGCTGATCATGTTCTACTCCTTATGATACATCTGTTTATTGTTTTGCCCACCCCCAGCATCCACGGATCTGTTGATTGCCTCTCGGAGCTCTCCTCGTCACATCTCACCCATCCATCAATCAGCGGTGAGTGTCGCCCATATTTCATCCCTCGTCTGAAATGTGTCTCTGCATTCATGGTGTTTTGGCAGAACGTACGCATTCTTGTGATTGTCATGCAGGGGTGATTCGCCGCAGCTTCAGCACCTCATCTGCCATTGCTCCACCCAAGGAGACGAGTAGGAGAAACCCTGTGACCAGGTGGGTCTTTCCAGATCATGGCCATCATTCTCGGCCACGGCGAAACGGACACTGATGAGAAGCAGTCGTGTTTCCGTTCTGGGCCGATTGTCCACCTTTCATTTCTCCTCTCCCCATCCGTGAAACGCTTCATCTATTAGATCATGTCAAAACCAGGTCCTGGGCCAGATCAGAAAGACACATTATTTTACGTGGCCCATAAAGCAAGCCATGTGTCTACTTTATTTTACGTGCTACAATCGCTTCCATAAATGTAAATTGTCTTAACTTGTAATAACTTTGAGAAATTGCAAGTGTGTGTTTGTTTCTTTTTTTTTTCACTTGTATTTTTGATATAAATTTGACAATAGTTGGACAAAAGCTTTTGGTTGACTTCATATTTCAAAAGTAGTTACCCATCAGTTTGTTGTGTGTAGGTAAAAATATGATGAGGCAATGATACATTGAAATGTTTTCACAGTCATAATTGTGCTCTGCGGGAAAGCGGAACTCCAATGTTGCCCTTAACAAAAATGAGTTTGACACACCTGTTTTAGATGCTAAGTCAACTGAAGCATCACGATATATGCACAGGTCTTCTGGCACCATGACCTGCAAGGTTTTGTGTACCTTTTGAGGCATGTTTTTCCCCTCAAAATGCTGGTTGCTTTTTAAATTGTACAACCATGGACGTTGCAATGTATTGAGCTTCTGTCAATTTTTCGGTAACTTTTATAGATAACATCTTGAACTTTTATGTCTCCCCCCTCCCCACCCATGCACCCGTTTGTCACGGGCCCCCAAAACCTGACGCAAAAACCAAAGATGTCGTTCCAACCCCCGTCGCCACCGCAGGAGCACATTGAGTGGAGGCAGCAGCAGCAGCAGCAGCATTCCGAGGAGTAGTGCCGGAACCGTCTACAGTTCTGACAACAAGGTCCGCCTCCATGAGGGCATGCAGGTCTTGTTGAACAGTGCCAATGAAATGGCCTGCATCCGTTACATGGGCATGGCTGACTTTGCTCCCGGCCTTTGGCTGGGTCTGGAGCTCCGAGGTCCCAAGGGAAAGAATGATGGTTCTGTCGGCGGCCGCCGCTACTTCACCTGCCGCCCGGGCCACGGCGTGCTTGTCCGTCCAAGCCGTGTTACCTATCGTGGCATCAATGGTTCGCGCTTGGTGGATGAAAACAGTTGAGAAATTGAACTTTACAGAAGTGTACAATCAAAAGTGGAATCTCGAGTTGAAACGAATCCACCTTTTAAAAAGCATTTATCATGACTCAGTTTTTTTTGTTTGTTTGTTTTTGAATATATTAGCTGAAAGCAATGATTTCATAGCCTGAATACAGCTACTTGTTTAGAAAACAGAATGAATGCACTTTATTGACTTAGCTTTGAATTCCCATTTGAAATCGTTTCAGCGGGAAATGGTGTAAGGAATTTAATAGGATGTTAAGCATTGCACTACTTCTAATCGGATTGCACTGACAAAAGTTAATTTCTTAGATCAGAACATGTTTATCAGACGGTAGGATTAGGAACACGCTATGACTCAAGGTATGTTTCCGTGGGTATATGTTTTCATTATTGGAAACAACCTGTGCTATATGGCTGTCATATTTTGCAGATAATTAATGGAATAGACTCAAAAACTCTTTCACTTGAGGTGTTTTTGTGACACTCATTTTAAGCCAAAAATTCAGGCGACGTTAGAACAGTGGAGCACCCAAAGTAGTTTTTAATCAAAAATATTTGTCTCCATCTTATGAATTACGTCAAGATGCAATGACTGAACAGTGCGTCATGTTTTGGCCTGCAACCTTTGGCTTTGTTTCCGTTGTTTTCTGGAATACAAAAATAGCAGTTTGAATCACATATTTTGACAGGAATATATACACTCATTTTAAATGAGAAAAATTAACTACCTTTTTTTCCTAGCTTGGACTGTTGTTTAAGGCTTCATCTTTTAGTACAGTGTAACATTAGGCCCGTCGCACAGCGAGCGACGGTGCCAAAACTGACTGAACTGTCTCGCAGAGTGGCCGGGTTTGGCAACTACTTTTCAGGAGTTGCAACAGACTGCCAGCCATTGGTTTTACTGCAGTGCAAAAATTTGAATCGCATTTCAACTTCGCAGGTGTAACGTCCAATCAAAAATGTGATATTTTCACAATAACTTTGACAACCAAAAAAAAACGACATATCCAGATATGTGAGTGTCAATGTGCAGCCGCCATTGACAAGTTCTACCCATAAACTTGCAATACAGTGGATGTGTTTTAAAATGATACTTAACTTTTTATAATTTCATGTGAACCTATGGACAAAATAGAAAACTCTCTCAGAAATGGTAGAATACAGTGACTGAATGGAAGCAACAGGCTGTGTATTATCCATAGTCTTCTTTTATTCCTCACCTATTTCTTCTCTTCGTCTTAGTAGAATCAAGGGTGCACATAACGATTTTACTGTGGTTCTCAAATGAGCGCCAGAGGTTGTTGTTTGGTGGATGTTTTATCTTCCAGACCCTCCGACTCTGTGGATAAACTTAAAAACTTAAGGGCGCCTCGAGGCAAAGTAGGGCCTGTGGGCCATTTGCAGCCCGTCTTCAGTCTCTGAACCGGCCCTCGAAGCCTTTATCGATCATACTCAAATGTTGAGTATGCACTGCTTTTATTTTGATGTGCTTGCATGTCAGCAGTGCAAGCGAACAAAAGCAGCGAATTGTCTTTCGTGTTGCCAAATGAAAGATATTGTCGCTGTATTCAGTGGCTTTTCCAATCATTCTAGTATTTGAGGGAAAAAAAGGTTCTTATCACCAGCTGTTATCCTCATGTTAGCAACATTCTTATTTTCTGCACAGTGGAGAGAAGCGGAGAATTTGCCCTGGTGATGCTTTGGGATCCTAAGAATGGCTAACTGGTTTATGCTAATAATGTCAGCACACCTAAAAAAAAAAAAAAAGTGGCTGATTATAATTTTTTGCAACAGTTTAACATAGTTTCATAATTGCAACAACGGATGCCATAGCTACACAAGTGACAGCTTATTAAAACAATACAATTTCCTGCTTTAGGAAAAACAAAACATTCAATTCATATCAATTGAGTTAGCATGTCGGTGTGGCCCCTTCAAAAACTTTTCACCAGGGGAGGCACTACTCCCCTGGAGTCAAATATTACAATATGAACCCAAAACAGAAGATGAGCCTATATTTCATTAAAATATATGTGTCAGAAAAGGTCAAAATTGAAGTTTTCAAAGCATTGAATTATGTTTCAACTGATTCCACACTGTTCAACAATGTGAGAGCAAAAAAAAAAGAATATTCATTCATTGTTATTTTTTACATATCTTTTTAAATTAAAAAAAGTATTTTCTTCCCTTTATATTTAATATATAATGAAAACCCAGATTATAAAATGACCTGTTTGGTATGATGTTTGATGTTTCCAACAAACTAATGCATTTTCAAATCGGTAAACAAATCGACGGATTAGGAGAGCTCGCCTCGGGAGTCCCGGTTCAAGATGGCGGCAAGGCCTGCACGTCCACAACTTTCCGAGATTTCCTCTCGTGGAATTGCATTCCTATGGACTTCTTTTACGCATATGTGCTAATGGGGAGCAGTACTGCAACATGCTGGCAGCGGCATGGTACTTTCTGGACGCCAGTGTTCACTTTGAATCGCTTTTACATACATCAAATATATTAGACTGTTGAACGTCAGCATGTGCAATACAAATGTGTAATAAAACACGTTTATGAGCGATCGAAACACAAACAGCAACGTCTCTTCTGTGATTGCAGACGCCAACTGCCTGCATGGTAACTGGAGTGCAGGGTACCTGCGATGCTTTATTTCACCTTCTGCCCATGTATTTGAACAGGGAACGGGCACATTCTGCTATTTAATGATGAAATAATTTATATTGTTGGATTGAAAAAGAAAATTTGCTTTACAGGGTCGGGCGGGTTTGGCCACCACGTCAAGTTTCTCTTGTGGCGTACGGTCAACTGCAGTCAAGCCAGCACGGCAACAATTGTTCATCCTGTTGTAATGCGCCATGAGGGTCAATTTAAAAAATGAGGTATAACCAGGATACAATACCAATTACAATGAAACTGAGACCCTTAAACATAATTAAAAACAGAATATGATGATTTGTTTTTTAATTGAATGCACCACAAAGACAATATATTGAATGTTCAAACTGATCAACTTTATTGGGCTTTTTTTGGGCAAATAATCATTAACTTAGAATTATATGGCTGCAACTCATTCACACACACACAAAAAAAGCTGGAACAGGGTCATATTTATCACTGTTACCTCACATTTAAACGTTTGTGAAATGTGAACAGTAATTGTTTAAGCTTTGGAGGTGGAAATATTTCCCATTCTTGCTTGATGTACATCGTCAGCTGTTCAAAAGTCTGCGATTTCCTTTGTCATATTTTACGCTTCATAACGCGCCATACATTTTCAATGGGAGACAGGTCTGGACTGCAGGCAGGCCAGTCTCACACTAGCACTCCTTTATTTTGAAGCGACACTGTTGTAACACGTGCAGAATGTAGTTTGGAATTTTCTTGCTGTAATCAACAGGAAAAAGGTGTCGCTTGAATAGCAGTATGTGTCTCCAAAATCTGTATGTACCTTTCAGCATTTATGGTGCTTTCACAGATGTGTAAGTTACCCAATGCCTTTGGCACCAACATAAGCTGGCCTGACCGCAGTCACGCTCACTGAGCGGCAATATGTTTGGTATGCACATGCGCAGTGAAACAGTGTAATCTGGTGCAGTGTTACATTTGTAGCTCAAATGCGCACTTGCGCACCCCTTACATGTCTGTAAAGATTAGAATAGAGGTACAGATCGAGGGCAAACCACTTCTTCCTTGTCAATGGCTCTATGTTTGTGGTTCAATTAAAAAAAAAAAACTTTTAGCTTCATTTTTCTAAATGTGGCGTCTCAAAATCTTGTCCACTTATTTCATGACATGTAGCATGAAAGTCGCCGACTGCCTTTTTTTTTAAATTCAATTGACTTATTCAGTTGATTTTGGCCGTGCCACTCGGAGTGGAGCGCACAGACTATGTATCAGTCAATTTGTTTTGTTTTCTTTGTTTTGTTATACAAACAGTACCAACATTTGTAGAAGCATGCGTTTGATTAGGAACCATCAGTACCTTCATTTAAATAAGGCAGCATGGGGTATAGTCGCAAAAGACATTTAATTACATCAGCTCAAAAAGACAAATGCAATCATCTTAACGTTCTGAGGTTGAACTTGGTAGCATCCCATTTGATTGAAGTTGTGAGTCTACCGCAAGTCATCCATTGTGCATGTGCAACAGAGCCCCTGATGTGTAAAACACTCAAGTAGCATTTAATTATGGTGTGTGGGCCACAATTGCAGCAAAAGGATCTTCAGCAGGCTTCTGTCATAGGGTGGCCACTTGCAATTGAAAGAAAGTGGAGGTCGAAGCCCAACCATTGTCTGACTCCTCTTTCCAAGCAAGTGAGCAGATTGCAGCCTAAACGTATAAGAGCAGATAGTGCTACTATTAAATGAAAATTAAAGAAGCCATATGCAATATTGAAATGCTCCGTAACCTATTGGACAACTTTACTCATTAATTCTTTCAGATCCATTGGGGTGTGACCCTTGTCTTTTTTTGGGGTGATATTTGGATGTTTATTTGTTGTGCGAATGCATCCTAGCAAGGTTTGATATTGTTGACATATTTGCTCAAATTTGAAATGAATAAAGCAAGCAATTCGAAAATTGACTCATTGTTTATTTTTCTTTCTCTGTCTCTCTTTGCGAAGCCTAGCTGAATCTGCGTGACTCACATAAACAAGAGCAGTTGATTGAATTCAGTGACGCAGAAGGAGCTTAATTACAAGCAGTGGTTTTGCCTAGCGGTTACATTCCCGCAGAACTTCCTGAATCTCAAGTATTACCAGAGACTTTTAAAAGGCTCTGACCGACTCTCTCTCTTGATAAGTCGGTCTCAGGAGGAATGTGTTTAGGTTCTCACTGCCAGCCCCATCTAAACAAGCCCATACTTACTTTTGATTCGGTAACTATCAGACATTAAGACATGAATCTAATCGCGTTCTTTTTAATAATAATAATGATAATACATTTCATTTATAAGTGCCTTTCAAGACACTCAAGGACACTTTACAACCAAAACAAGAACAATAAAACCACAGATAAAATATATAAATAATAAAAGGAGAGATGAATTTAAACTGAATATACGGCAGCTTCCTCCTTATGGATCCGGTACAATTACCTAAAATAATTTGAAAATCATTGTTATGACCTTCAGGACTCATTATTATTATTATTATTATTATTATTATTATTATTATTATGATTAGAGCCGGAAAAAGCCTTTAGTCATTGCAATGACAGTCACTAATTATGCTGTATTCTCACTCTTTAAGGTGTGATGGAATAAAGAAAAAGGAACCATTCTGTAAATATGTCTTCATGAAATGCTTTCTTGCAATAAAGTGGGAAAGTCGCGAGAGCATTTAAGTGATAAATCAATAACAAAGAGCGTAAATGGAAAACATGGACAAATTGGGATTGTGTTCATGAAATGTGTCTACTCATTGATGATTCAAGGTGAGACAAAAAAAAAAGATAAAATGTGTTACGTTCGGCTAAGAAAAGAAAGAAATGACCCTGCATCACTTTCCACAGAGTTCAGTCTTGATTTTCCACAAAGCCCAGATGAAAAGTGGTTTTAAATCCACTTTGACAAAAAGCTGTCATTTGCTATGATGATGCGCACTTTAGGTGAAGCAGCCGGTCGATCAATTCGGTATCCTCACAAAAATCCAATTCGAACCACGAGAGTTGGTATTCCAGAAAGCCATCGGTACTCAGGTGAGTCCCCTACGTAACACTGTAGCCACTGTTCTCTGTCACTAATCCATTCTAATTATTTTTGTATATTCCCAAAAGAAAAAAAAAACATCTGATGATCCTGTTTGTCTCATGTCTTACACAAAGCTCTAAAAACAAGCCCGTGCCTCCCACATTCAATACAGCCTTCAGACCTTTTAATACTAACGGCATAAAATAAGGCCTGCAGTACCCTTGTTTTCAAAATTGAACATTCCCCAGGAAATTTTTCTTTTTTGTTTTGGTTGAAGTAATATGTAGCCAGAAGGTGACATCCCTGACTGACAGAAAGAGGATATTTGTGAGTCTGAAAACTAAACATATTAACTGAAAGCTGCACCGCAGTAGCGCTTTGTCA